AGAAGTAGATGGTCTTATTGATAGTGGCAGCTCAGAGAGTTTCATCAATCTTGACTTAGTTAAACACCACTCCTTGACTGTACATCACTCATCAGGTACTGTTTCCATGGCATCAACATCTCTCTCTATTCAGACCTTAGGGTTTTGTAAGGTAAATCTCAGAGTTAATGGAAAGGATTATCAAGATGTACATTTAGCTATTCTGCCACAACTGTGCTCTGATGTTATCCTTGGTCAGGACTTTCAGAAGCTGCATGGTAGTGTCACCTTAACATATGGAGGTGAACTGCCTCCTCTTGTTGTCTGTGGACTTAGCACTTTAAGGGTAGACCCACCAAAGCTGTTTGCAAATCTTACCGCGGATTGCCATCCTATATCAGCTAAGTCACGCCACTATTCTTATGAGGATCGGATGTTCATTGAGAAAGAAACTCAGAGGCTGCTGAAGGAGGTTATTATAGAACCAAGTAATTCCCCTTGGCGTGCACAGGTTGTTGTTGTTAAGGGCCCCGAGAGGTGGTGCAGTATTATCCTGCTACTGCTCCCCACAGGAGCAGTATCACTACAATCTCCCCCTTCTAAAATATCAGAGACAGTAATCTCCCAAACTGTTAGGTGGGTGACGTACACGTCCCGACCTTCGTAGCCCTTGAGCCTCTTCACCAGGTTCAATATTTTCCAGCGGGGTTTGACTAACTGCTGGAGCAGAATCCTCTATTTCCGTAGGGGTTGTCTTTCACAGTTGTTCTCTATTTTTGGTATGCCAGCTTATATCCATTCAGACAGGGGATCCTCGTTCATGAGTAACGAACTTCAGGAGTTTTTGTCTAGCAAAGGTATTGCCTGCAGCAGAACAACAAGCTACAACCCTCAAGGCAATGGTCAAGTGGAGCGGTTCAATGGTACTATATGGAAGGCAGTTACAATGACATTGAAGTCGCGCAATCTACCTGTTCAACACTGGCAAACTGTCCTACCTGATGCTCTTCACTCTATTAGATCATTGCTGTGCACAGCTACTAATGCAACCCCTCATGAAAGACTCCTCAACTATTCACGTCGTTCCTCTACTGGAGCCCTCCGTGCCACTTGGTTATGTTCATCCTGGACCCGTTCTCCTGAAGAGTCACGTAGGATGAACAAGACGGATCCTTTAGTGGAAGAGGTAGAGCTCCTGCAAGCTAATCCACATTATGCCCACATTCGCTACCAAAATGGTGAAGAGACTACAGTATCTACAAGACATTTAGCCCCAGTTGAAATCCCCATTAGTGTGGAATCTCAAGATACACCAATAGATGTGAAGGATGCTTCGTTTTCTCCTGGAAAGCCCCTTGAGACTACCCCTACGGAATAGAGGATTCTGCTCCAGCAGTTAGTCAAACCCCGCTGGAAAATATTAAAACCTGGTGAAGAGGCTAAAGGGGCTACGAAGGTCGGGAGTGTACGTCGCCCCCCAAACATTTTGGGGATTACTGTCTCTGATTTTTAGAAGGGGAGATTGTAGTGTTTAACTGCTCCTGTGGGGAGCAGTAGCAGGATAATACTGCACCACCTCTCGGGGCCCTTAACAACAACAACAGTTTGGTGTGTGTCATGGGCGCCAACACATGGTGTGTGATTCTCTTCTCTTCTACTATCCCTATATTAGTGATGCAGATTACATGGTGAGTTTAAATATGTGGCCTGTAGTTATAACTTTTCTCTTGACATATGCAAGACATCACCATCCCTGTAGAAGCCATTATTAGATGTACTAGTCATTATATTTTGTTGCAGAAGTACTATGAAGATTCTATGTTCAATAAAGCCTAGAGATAAGGTCTGTGTTTCTATCACAACAATGACCAAAGGCATAACATTTAAAACATTGTGTCACACTGACAAATCGTTGAAGAGAGATTTGGTCAGGTGTACATCTGGTGCCAAAACATTTGAAGCCATTTTGACACACAAGTTTGGCCTCCTCAGGTGTCTCGAGTATTAATTTTAAGGTTACCTTGTTGTTGTTAGGATTAGAGAATTTATGTGCTTCTACAGCCCTAAATTTAGATTTTTTCCCCCTGTATTAATTTTCCTCAACAATTTCATTTTACATTGCTATGTTTCATAAAATGTTGATTCTGGCCACAAACACAGTCCTCTGAGCTTGATGCTCTCAGGTGCAATGGGGTAACACCAGAATCTTCCAGTTTTCAAGGAGATCATGCTTCACAGTTGAAGTAAACCCCTTCTGAAGAAGGGGGAAGTACTGCTCCAGCGTGGGGGTTTGAAAAAATCCACTGGAAACCAACAGTTGAGTTCGAGCCAAATACATGTTAGAATTTCTTTCATGGACATTTGATTTCCTCAATACGTAAATCTTTCACGTATCCTCCCATGATGTCCTAGGAAAGGGAAAATCTGGCGAGGAGTTCTTACAAAAGGATCTTTCCTTAAGTTAATTTGACATCCTATTTCAGCTGATTATGAAGGGGCACCCCAGATAGCCCACCTCGTGTTTGTGAGGGGAAAGGGCCCAAGGCAAAGATCGGGGTGATTTTAAAAAACCACACGGGCTACCGGAGGTCAAATGCCTTGTGTTAACTCGCCAAAGCGAAGTTGCCGAAAAAGAAGATAGGAAAGTCAGAAGGATAGCAATGTATGTAGTGTGTTAGTGTGTGGGCCAGTGTTGATGTTTGGGTGAGGGGAGGATGGGGAAGGATGGGGGGATGGGGATGAGAGGGGTGAACAAGCAAGCAAGTCACCGCCTTACCCTCTTGATGGGATGGGGCTCGAAGTGACTGCAAGCAAGTTTCCTCTCAGCTCTGGTGAAGAACTACTCAGGATAACCCAAGAAAAATCTCGAGCAACAGTGTTCAGAGTTGCTCAGCTGAAGAGCAGGAACGACAACGTCTTCTCTCCACGGTGGCTGGGCTGCTTCTTCTCTTTTAGGTACAATTTTACCCAATTTTTGCATGATTCAATAAGACGGAAGCTGTAGAGACTTTTTTGGGTTATCCGAGGTGATTTACACTATGTATGATAATTGTACTTATGTGTGCCTGTGCTTAAATAAACTTATTTACTTAATAAAAAAAAAGCCACAAAAAAGTAGCATCAATGACGACGTAAGTTTATATAGGTACATTTACACAAGTTTTAAGTGAATTCAATTGTCTTAGTACAGTAGCATGTAAATTACCAAGTGTGGGAACTTGTGAGATGCCCATTCTGTCAATCACTGTTGACACAGGTAACACAAGACTACAATGTCTTGTTCTCACAAGCACCCCTATGGATACACTTCTTTAGAGAGAGTTAACTGACTAGCAGGGAAGACATACCTTCAACTATTCACAAACTAGAACAGACTTACTTGGTGTGGGATGCTTGCCCTAGCTAGAAATTCCCTAAATCTGCTGGGCTACGAATTTCTAATGACTTCCCTTTCTTCTAGGTACCACGTGCATAGAGGAATGGTACCTATAATCAGTTAATATAATTTAGTAATCCTAGCATACACTCTAAGGGTCCCTGTATTCGTTGGGGTTTTCCTAAAGAAAGATTACTAGCTTCTGGCTTAATATTCAAGGGATAGTTACTCAGCAATCTCCCCCTCAAGGGAGGTTCCTTGACGTTGGTCAGTAGCTCTTGATCTAGGGAATTGGATTTGTGCTCCAGTTCCCTTAATTGAGCCTGAATACCTTCCCCCCTCCCCCCCACATAAACTGTATAATCCTACGGGTTTAGCGCTCCCCCACGATTATAATAATACTCAGCAATCCTGGATGTCAATGACCCCGTACTGATGGTCACCTACGTGAGAAAAATACTGAAGATAAGATAAGATTTCGTTCGGATTTTTAACCCCGGAGGGTTGCACCCAGGATAACCCAGAAATGCGGAGAGTTACGGGGTCAACTCTTCCCCCGTTGGGTCCAATCTGTGTCCCAGGACTGACCAACCAGGTTCGTCTCTGCACCAAGACCGTAACGTACTAGCCAGCGGTGATCAGGAACAACTTTGGTGAAACGCGTTCGAAGACTTCCAGGGCTCTGAATGGAACCCCCTTCTGTGTGTGGGAGGAGTTGATGGCTGGTCCCAAGCTCTGGGCATGGTCTTATTACAGTCAGTGAAGCCCACTTTTCTTGGGGGGACTGCGCAACGTATTTCGTGATATGGTTTTGTTCGTAAGTGAAGATTGAGCAAGTTCGGTACTAGCTAGATTTGAGTGTTTATTCAGAATCTTCGCCACTGCGTTCGGATGACGTTTGAACTCAACGCTCCAGTAATGGGTGTTTTACTCTCGTTCTGCCGCCGTAAGTTCTCTTTACATTTGCAGTGGCAATTCACTGCTTGAAAGTTTTGAGTAGAATATTCCTAGCTAGATAAAGTGACTGAAGTCTTCATATTGTACTTGGCCATTATGAGTCTATCATCCTTATTTTCTATGCAATGGATTGATAATGTTATGGCCTGAAGGAGATCCTGCAATCAAGTCCCAGTCTTGACGTGGTGTTCTCTAGTTTGTGAGAATTTGCTCTTGTACTGATAAATTAATTCTCATGTTACCTATAGTAATTGAAATTTCATGTTAACTTAATGTTTCTCACCACTAAAGATTGTATTCGCTGAGCCTGATTTATTACAAACAATCCAAGTCTACCTAAATCATTCTGAAGGCCTAAATCTATCAATCTTAAAGTTAACTCATGTTAACTTTAGGGGCGCGATTCGACTGTCGCCACCCCTCTGACCACAACCCTAAAATATTTACATATGAACCCGGCAGTGGGAATTTTTGGTACTAATATATTTCCACATCTAGGATAACCCAACAGAGGTCAAAATGACTTTATTTCCATTAGGATCATGGTAATGTCTTATTATTAGCAGCCTAGCGATTGACGCACAAGGCCACCAAACCCGTGTGGGTCATTCACCAACAAAATAACAAAATGTTTTAAGATGAAAATTACAGTCCTGTGTGCATTAATACATAACTTACACTCCCTCAGGTGACTGTTGGTTGCTGGCAGCAGTGTCTAACCTCACACTCAACCCTCAGCTCTTCCATGTGGTGGTGCCACGAGACCAAGGATTCGTAGAATTCTATGCAGGCATTTTCCATTTTAAGTGAGTTCCTGGAGTCAAAACGGTGATTGATACTTTGGCATAAACAGAGAGGGGGATGGAGAAGTAAGACATTAATTATAACTACTGTATACTCACTGAGGCTCGTTGGTGTGAGGGACCAAAATTTACAAACCTCATCATATTTTGTCTCTGTATAATTAAAGTGTTTATTTTTTTGTGATTGGGATTACTGTATAATAAGATTTTTATTATTGTATTACATTCCTTTGGAAATGCTAAATCCATAAGGATCGTACAGCACCTTAGAAATGGGAGGTAATCAGGTATGATATTATTATTAATTTGAACATGATACATAGAAGTACAAGGAAATACAGTGGTTAAGTGTAACATGCCAAAGCCCCTTGTATGCAGAGAATTATGGGCAGGCTTAAAATTAACTTAAGATTAACTAAGCAATGATATATTCAGTGGTAAACATTGTTGTAAACAGTTAACAATTAAGCACAAATGAGTATTTCAAAGACAGGTTATATGGTCATTTACTGTGTTGCTGTGCATTCAGTAGAATGGAGTATTCTGTTAGGTAATGTAATTAAAAATAACAAAGTTTGATTGGGTCACAGGTTAAACATTTATGAGATACAATTATTCAGTATTTATTTAGTTGTGGGTGAGTAAGTGATTTTTAAGAAGAGACTTGAATTTATAAACAGTGTTTCTTTTATATTCACAGGTAATGAATTCCAGATTTTTGGGCCTTTTATGTGCACTGAGTTTTTGCATAGTGTGAGATGCACACGAGGAATATCAAAGGGTGATCTGTGCCTTGTGATATGGTCATGTGTTCTGTTGAGGTTGGTAAGGAGACGTTTGAGGGGAGGGTTTATATCAGAGTTAAGTGTTCTATGCATGTAGTATGGATGTTTTGTATGGTGAGTAGGTTTAAAGTTAGTTTTGAATATTGGTGGAGTGTGCTGCCTGTAGTGGGAATCTTCGGTAAAGACGTAGCTCCAATTTCTTAGATCAAGAACCCTCCAGCATCAAGATGCCCTCTTGAAGGGTGCCGCTTCCAGTACAGATCTTTGCTTTATGCGGATTTGCTTTATATGCAAATTTATTATGCAATGTCCTGGTTCTCTTGGTAATTATGTACATGAATGGTTTACAAAATCCATTGCAGTTTCTTTTTATGCATAATTATTTATGGTGGTACATACAAATCCTAGGGTCTGGAATGCATTTACAGCATAAAATGAGGAACACCTGGATTTATACTATTGTATATTACCTTTTTAACACCAACCATATATTGCCCAGTAATTTATCATATTGTTTGGTACCTGCCTCCAGATTCTGGCAGTATGGAAAATGGCAGGAAGTTGTGGTTGATGATATGCTGCCCACTTATAATAACCAGCTTGTGTTCATGCATTCTAAAACCAAAAATGAGTTTTGGTGTGCACTTCTGGAGAAAGCATATGCCAAGTGAGTACCGTGAGTTTTACATTTAAATTTTACATTTAAATTTTTAATACAACAGTTGTTGCTCATCAAGGTAGGGTATCCCCAAAAATGAGGCAATACATACACTGTCATTTACTTAATTTTTGTCTGCCCTGAAGTGTGCTAACACCATAGTTCAGATGGCCCATAAACTGCAACATCCTCACATTTCCTTTAGGGTCAAGGCACTGTACCTCCATGACTAAAGTCTGGCTAACCGGTTTCCCTGAAGCTTTTAAAAAGCATTGCCTTGCTCACACTTCAGCAGCACATCAAGTCATGATAACCACTATCTCAAATTCTTAATACGTATATTAATAATTACCATAAGAAACTGAAACTGTTTCAGTTGTACTGCAAGACTTAGTATACTAAACTTGAGTCCATTACTTTTGTACCTTGTTCAGCTATCAAAGCTTTGGGACCCAGCCCCTGGACCCATTATGTACCTCTGTCATCTTTTGACTACCGCCCACAGGATAGATATGGGATGTATAATGAAGATATTAAACTAACAGATTAATGTTCTCCAAGTAAGGTAAATACAAAAGTGCACAGAAAACATTTCATTTACCATTAAAAGATACAGATAATTTTTAAATAAAAAATATTAATGAAATGCAAAACTTTTGGATGGTTATATGTTAAGATCTAATATATGGCAAAAAAAGAAGAAACCGTTGTATTCTGTATGTTTAGGTTAGGTTATTTAGGTATATACTATTATAGTACATACTAGTACATTATTGGCATCATAACTAATGTATAATGTACACATACTGTATTATGGCATAATTAACAGTACTACTATATTGACATGACACTAATCTACTGAATGTACTTTGTATTATGGCATATTTTTACAGTATAAAAAGTTGCAGGCTCAAGGACTGTGTATGTTCTTGTAGTTCTTAATTATTACACTACAATTTTCACAAAAAACTACTAAACTTGTTCTAAATTTCAATAATAATATAATAATATCTTTCTTTCTACAAGTATATGTACAAGGTACGTATACAGGCCTAGCTGACATCAATGGCATACTGCTACGTATACAGAAAGCCGCTTGTTATGCTCTCAGAGCATTTTGGGCAAATTAGGTCAGTTCTGTCCCAGAATGTGATGCACACCAGTCGACTAACACCCAAGTACCCATTTTACTGATGGGGAACATAGACAATTGGTGTAAGGAAACATGCTCAGTGTTTCTGCCCTCGCCGGGAATCGAACCTGGACCCTCACTGTGTGAAGTGAGAGCTTTAGCCACCAGGCCACGGGGCACCATTAAGATATTGCTGAAATAAATTATTTTGTTAAATCATGAGTGTGTTTATATGGTAATTGACATTCTTCCTACTCAGCAATAGCAGCTTGGAACATCTACTAACTACACTTTAGTTGTTACACAACAGTAAGGTAAGATGAGACTTGTTCGGATTTTTACCCCGGAGGGTTAGCCTCCCAGGATAACCCAAGAAAGTCAGTGCATCATCAATGACTGTCTTACTTGCATTGAGGTCCATTGGGCCTTTAGTGATGCTATATTTCCATGTTGAGCATTCCCCTCAATTTCTTTTATGTTGTATTTCCTTGACCACGCAGGGTGTATGGCGGATACGAAGCCCTGCGAGGAGGAAACATTAACGAGAGTATGGTTGACCTGACAGGTGGTGTAGTAGAGATGATTGACCTCCGTAATCCACCTCCTAGACTCTTTTCACTCTTGTGGAAGGCTTACCGTAGGGGTGCTCTAATAGGCTGTGCTATAGAGGTATGTTGACAAATATTTACCTGTTTTAGTCAGTAAATAGTTAAAGATGTTTAACTTGCATATATATACTGTCATACTTTCACAGTGGAAAATTAATGTACATGTAGTGTCTTAAGATAACAGTTGTGAAGGCTTACTCAGCCCTGTAATAACTTCAGACAGTATTACCAAGGCTGTCTCCTCCTCAGGAAAATTAATAGAAAAAGAAATAATAATTCACAAAGATAAACACTTTATTATTTATTAATGCAAAGATAAAACATTGAAATATGAAGGTGTATCCTACTTGAAAGAAAAATTAAAAATGAAATGGAAAAAATGAATTTGAATTAACGAAATATATACGTTATCGGGGTGTCTGGTGGAGGTTTACATCTCTTGTAAAATTGTAGCCTTATGATGATGTGTGGGGGGGGGGGGTACAGGTGTTGGTGAAAACCCAACACTAGTTCTTACAGAGTCTATAGCCTTGAAAAGTCATCCAGATGACAGGAATGCAGGTTTTTTACCCCTGCAAAAATGAGGGTAGTGTCCTGTACAATTAACATAAGTAGATTTGAAATGCGTTCATGGGGTGTTTCAGTCCGTCCCTTCAACACTTTTCGTTGGTTTGGCAGGTGGGCCCATCTGTCTTCCAAGCTGGAAAAAAACAGGGACCCACTGCTTAAGAAATCACTCCCATGATAAGTGCAAGATACTTAAAAAAGGTGGTGATTATCGAAAAGTCTCATGTGGAGCTTAAAACTGAAAGGACAAAGTTTATTATTGGTCAAAAGGGAAGCTTTCAACCAATATCCACTAGAATAGGAGCAGAGGCTTTTACTTATAGTTGTGCTGGGAGCTGTGAGTCAAGTGATTACTGTTTGGTCCGAGCCCCACACTACCTTTAGGGGTGGAGAAAGGGGGGGAGGGGATAACCGGAGCTAGACTGACCCTACCTTAACAAGCAGCCGGCAATCAAACTATCGTTACCATATACTCGCTTGCTACTCCTATCTGTTGAGCTTTTCCCTCACAACATTTAATCTCTGATTTCTGGGAAAAGGTAATACAGTGGACCCCCGCTTAACGATCACCTCCCAATGCGACCAGTTATGTAAGTGTATTTATGTAAGTGCGTTTGTACGTGTATGTTTGGGGGTCTGAAATGGACGAATCTACTTCACAATATTCCTCATGGGAACAAATTCGGTCAGTACTGGCACCTGAACACACTTCTGGAATGAAAAAATATCGTTATCCGGGGGTCCACTGTACTATATAATGCATAGAATTATAAACCACTTCTCAATTTAAAAAATGATGGCAAAAATGCTTGTTTTTACTTATACTGTAACTGCAGCTTTTTATTTGTTAGATATTGCACATACTATATTGTAATTGCAGTATAGTGTAGGGTTAAGTAGGCATTAATGCACCTTCATTATACGTAGTACGTATTGTTAACTTTTTATCTTCACATTTTTTAATGTACAGTAGAGTGGTGATTATTCTTAAGGGATTTTACTAACATTTCAGTCATAGTGTGGGTCTTTCCAAGCCAGGGTTTACTGTTTGACTGTAGTAGTTGTGGATTATAGGATGGAGGGAGAAAATCTTTTCCTTTCTGAGTTACCCTAGGTTAATGGGAGATAACCATTGTGGTAAGAAAAACAAAAAGTCCTCTTGAATAATTTGGTCTCACTCAATTCATTATATTTTCTTATATGTGCATTAGGTTTTCATTAATAAATAACAAATAAATTTGCACTGAGAACGTATCAGACTCGGTTAAAATTGAAATTAGCTTTAATACAATATCAATTGGAAGTTGAATAGTGAGATGAAGTCTCCAGGGAGCAGATAATTAGAACTGTTCGCAATTGTTTTTACTCTATTTGAAGTGTTAAACCCATGTGTGGGTAATTCATTTGGAAGAATCTTAAATCAATATTCTTTTCATATGAAAGACTAAACCTGGAGTCTGCAGCTTCAGCATTGAGCCCCCACTGAGTAAAACATAACAGCACACTAGAGAAAGCAGAGATATTCACCATTAAGATGATACCTGAACTGAGGAGCAAAAGCTATGAAGAATAATAAAAAGAACTTGATTTGGAATTGTGTTAAACTAGTGGAGATACGATCACAATATGTGTACACTATTTTTGAGAATTAATAAATGTGACAACAATTATTCTACATGGTAAAGACCAGGATGAGAGGACACAAATGGAAGCTGACCACTGGTATTAGTCAGACATTTTAGGTAGAACTGTACTTTTACAGTGGTATATTACTGGTATTTAAATATCAGTGGCAGTGTATTTGGTGAGCCAAAGGATTATATTGATTGTACTTAAAATACTTTGGTAGTCTCTGTACTATAAATTGATTCTCTTGTAACAATATTAATACATAATGGAGAACAGCAGCAATAACATCAAGTACTGTGGGAGAGACTCTGATCTTTTATTATTTTTAAAATCATGGAGATATTCTACACCCATAAAGGGTCATACAGCACCTTGAGATGAGAGGCAAATAGGGTTGATCTTAGGAAGGGGAAGGGTAACTGCAATTCCTTCAGCAACATCAAGATGTCTCCCTTGATGGGCCTTGGAAAAA